GACAAATCTTTATGAAAATTTGCTCCCACGATCATTTGTCTTCGGATTTGATTTGGACAGTCGAATCAAGCAATTACCCGATCGGGTATAGGCAATACCCGACCGGGTACATGAGTATTTTTTCCAAATCGAAATCTTTCTTGTCTCCTTGCACTTTCCTTGATCTTTTAAGGTCCAATCTTGATCCCTTAGATGATCTTTGACCTGTTTAGCTCAGAAAAATCCTAATCTAACTAAATTACAAATAAAAATGAAAATAAAGTATTACACCAAAAGTGTGTAATTTCCACAACTAGAACTAATAAAAACTAGTTAAAAATACAAACATACACTCGGAAATTACACGAATATCATCCATCTCCACTCTAGTATAAATACTTGGGCTTAATACATTGTAAAGGGTTAGCATTTCCATACTCAGAGCTTAGCAATAGAATCATTTCTCTTGTATTGTATTAAAACTCGTACCGACATACCGCTCGGGCAGTTTAATTGTAATCACTGAATTTCTCAATACAAGTTAACTTCTGAGTACTTCTTAATTCACTATTCTATATTTTATACACTTTCTAAACCAGAACCAAACGTCCTTAATATCCAAAGCGTGTGTTGGGCTTTCGGATCTACGGGATTAAAACACAACAGGATCCAATATATAATATTAGGAGAGTTTGAGACAAGAGAAAAGAAGGATAATGTGTATAATGTTGATTACGTTCACAATTTCTCCCATTCGGAATATAGAGAAATAACGAGTTGAGCCGCTAATATAACCCGATAGGCCAACTACGTAAAAAGGCTAATCTAGTATGTATGACCTATCAGGCTGAGAAGAAAATGCCCAGTATTACGTAGAATCCCTGACTTCCTGTTTGTCATTCTCTCATTTCTCAATTTGTGTCTTTTCTTTTCCTTTTCTTTCTTTTTGTATGTATTTTTTTGTCTTCAACTACGGAGTATAATAGTACTTCGTATAATATACAAATTTCTCTCTCTTTACTTTTACTTCTCTTTTTTAAATCCAAAAACCTTAAAAGGATATGTAAAACTCTTTTTCTATTTTTATGACTTTTCATTAATATATACTCCCTTTCTTTTTTATATTTTTCACTGTCTCTCCTAATTTATTTACACTATTTATTAATTCGCCATGAGATCAATTTTTTGGTATCATGCGTGTCCCAAGCCAGGATAAAGGAGGAGGGTGTTGTGGTAGGCGCGTGACAGCCAACAGTACTACTTAGTCACATCACATGACATGAATCGAAATATGAATATCACTACAGCTAGGTCGTCGCCCGTAAGCGACGCGTCATCCCTCCGCCTGGGGGTGGTGTCAAATATGCAAGGGCGCGCTACACTTCTTAGGCCTGGGTGTGGTGATAAGAAAGCTAAGACTGCTAGGTCGTCGCCCGGAAGCGACGTGCCACTCCAATGCCCGGGGATGGTGTCAAATATGCAAGGGCACGGTGGGAGTCGATGTGGTGTGAAGAAGAAAAGGCAGGGTGTTAGATTGCGTTTTGGGACATGGAATGTTGGCTCGCTTACGGGAAGATCATCTGAGATAGTTGAGGTTACGAAAAGGAGGAATGTCAGCATAATGTGTATGCAAGAAACTAAGTGGGTTGGAGAAAAGGCACGTGAGATCAATCCCGGAGGTTTTAAGTTGTGGTATTCGGGGAGATAAAGAAACAGAAATGGAGTAGGCATTATGGTGGCACAGGATTATATTGAGGGTGTGGTGGAAGTCTTCAGGAAGAACGACCGCATCATGAGCATTAAGTTGATAATAGGAGATGAGATTGTGTCAGTGGTAAGTGCCTATGCACCACAAGCGGGATTGGATGCATCTATCACTCAACAATTTTGGGAGGATCCAGAGGAGGTGGTGCGACGAGTGCCAAGGGGAGAGAAGCTGGTCATAGGAGGCGACCTCAACGGGCATGTGGTCCCAAGTCGTGATGGTTTTGAGAGTATCCATGGCGGACATGGTTTTGGCACTAGAAATGAAGCGGGGAAGAACATTTTGGATTTTGCCTCGACATATGAGTTGGTTGTGATGAACACGTACTTGGTTCAAGAAAAGAGACTCTCACCTTGTAACCTATAGAAGTGGAGCTAATAATACCCAAATTGACTACTTTTTAGTACGGACGACTTGGAGAACTAGCAGCACCGATTGTAAGGTTATCCAGGTGAGAGTGCTGTCACTCAACATAGGATGTTTGTGCTTGATTTTCAAGGTAAAAAGAGGAGGGTTAAGGTACAATTGGAGCCGAAGATAAAGTGGTTGAGGCTAGAGGGGAATCTCCAACAAACTTTTACGTAGAAAATGTTGGAGGAAGATGTATGGTCCTTTGATAATGATGCACATGTGGATGATGTGTGGTTATCAATGGAGTCGACCTTTAACAAAGTGGCGAAAGAGATACTTGGAGAATCTAAAGTAAGTCTACCACCAAAAAAGGACACATCTTGGTGGAATGATGAGGTGAAACAAGCAATAAGGATCAAAAGGGAATGCTATAAGAAATTGGGCAAAAGTTGGAGCGACGAGAACATAGAGGAGTACAAGGAGGCTAGAAGAAGAGCAAAGAAAGCTGTAAAGGAAGCAAGAGGAAAAGTGAACAAGGAATTGTATGCAAAATTGGACTCTAAGGAAGGAGAAAAAGATATTTACAGACTTGCTCGTCTTCGTGACCGTAGGACTCAAAATATAGGAAAAGTTAAGTGTGTGAAGGATGTCGATCAAAGAGTACTAATAGAGGATGGGGAGATAAAAGAGAGGTAGATGTCTTACTTTGATACCCTATTCAACGGGAACAAAGCGCAAGATATCGGTGATTTGACCATACCGTATTGTATGGTAAATCGTGATTTTGTGAGAAGGATCCAGACAAAGGAAGTTAAGGAGGCTCTAAGGAAGATGGGGCAGAAAAAAACAGTGGGTCCAGATGGCATACCGATCGAGGCTTGGAGAAGTTTGGGAGAGAGAGGCGTCGAGTGGTTAACAAGTTTCTTCAACATGATTTGGAGAAACAACAAGATGCCGACAAGTTGGAGGAAGAGTACTCTAATCCCCTTATTCAAGAATAAAGGTAATGTACAAGAATGTGCCAACTATCGAGGGATTAAGCTAATGAGTCACACCATGAAACTTTGGTAGCGAGTGATTGAGCAAAGACTTCGAAGAACTGTGAAGATTTCAGAGAATCAATTCGGTTTTATGCCTGGTCGCTCAACAACTGAGGCAATTTACCTTCTTCGGCAGCTTATGGAGAAGTATAGAGACGCTCACAAGGATCTGCATTTGGTATTCATTGACTTAGAAACGGCTTATGATAGGGTACCTCGAGAAGTTCTTTGGTGGGCCTTAACTAGAAAAGGCATATCACGCAAGTATATCAGCATCATCATGGATATGTATGAGGATTGTACTACAAGTGTTCGTACTAATGTAGGGAAGACTGCGGAGTTCCCTATTACTGTCGGAGTGCACCAAGGATCGACTCTGAGCCCTTTCTTATTTGCCATAGTCATGGATGAACTTACTAAGTCAATTCAAGACGAAATACCGTGGTGCATGATGTTTGCTGACGATATTGTATTGATTGATGAGACGCAATCAGTTCTTAAAGCAAAGTTGGAAGTATGGCGATAGACATTGGAGAACAAGGGTTTCAGACTAAGTCGGAGCAAGACAGAGTACATGGAGTGCAAGTTTGGTGGAGGTAGAAGTAGTGGTAATAGTGGAATTACTCTAGATGGTAAGGAGATACCGGTCGGTGATATGTTCCGTTACTTGGGCTCCATAATTCAGAAGGACGGTGAGCTAGATGGAGATGTATCCCATAGAATCAGAACAGGGTGGATGAAATGGAAGAGTGCGTCAGGATTTCTATGTGATAGAGGTATGCCCACTAGACTGAAGGATAAATTCTATAGGACAACAATTAGGCCTGCATTGCTGTTTGGCGTAGAGTGTTATGCGGTGAAACAATGTCACATTCAAAAAATGAGTGTGACAGAGATGCGCATGTTGCGTTGGATGTGTGGGCATACTAGGAAGGACCACGTGCGAAATGAGACAATCAGACAAAGGGTGGGAGTAACACCTATTGAAGACAAGATGCGGGAGTCTCGCCTACGGTGGTTTGGTCATGTGCATAGAAGACCGAGTGATGCACCTGTTAGACGTGTTGAGATGTGTGGAGAAGAGGCAGGGAAGAGAGGGAGAGGAAGGCCCAAACAGACGTGGGTTAGGGGAGTCCGAAGTGATATGCTTCTTCTTGGGTTGGATGAGGGTATGGCTTTGGAGAGAGCAAGGTGGGGGACGGGTATTCGTGTGGAGGAGTGATCTCGTATTATTTTTTCCCCTCATTTTTTTTCTCGTTCTTTTATTCTTTTATCCTTATATATATAAACATTATTTTTGTCCTTTTTAGTTTATCATTTTTAGATATACTCATCTCGTTTTATATTATCTTTTTATATTAGCTTTTTTTTAGTCTTTATTTTCTTTCTTTTCCTTTTGGTGGTGATATCGTGTATCGATTCATGTTAGCCGACCCCAATATCTTTTGGGACTAAGACTTAGATGGTGTTGTTGATTTATTAATCTTGCTATTTTTTCGATAAATATCGTGTGTAACCCGTATACATATACTGTGTGTACCTTTATAAACAAAAAAAAAGTAGATTGGGAAGATTATGAAAAATGTGTACAAAAAATATAACTTTATAAAAGGGAACTTTATTGTTTATAAAAGTTATTGTTTACAAAAATTTAACTTTAAAAATGTGTACAAATAATATAACTTTATCAAAATATAACTCATCTGATAGATACATATTTTTTTTCAAAAAAAAAAAACCATCATATTTTTCATTATATACTCATTGAAGTAATTATTATATACTTCATTTAAGTTAACTTTATAAAAATATAACCATTATACTCATCAAATAGAATATGAAATTCTGTTTCACCCAATTTATCTGCCCTTCTATTACTTAACCATCCTCGCAACCCAATCAAACCGAGAGTAAGATTCATATATACATAAATCATAAGAAATCATCTATGGCGTAAATGTGTAAATATGGTGAGTTAATCCTCAACTCCAAAAGAATTAAATACTATAAACAGAATGGAAAAGATGAGAGTTGAGTAGACCATACTAACAGAAATTGTCTTAAATAAGAGTAAAAACATTTTGAAATTTTAAAATAGAACTTTCATGTTTTTATTCTCTAAATAGGAGTAATTCTGCCACATTTGAAAAAAAAAATGTCATGTTTAAAGCTAAGTAATGCCAAACTTGGTAGAAATTTACTCCTATTTTGAAATAAAAATGATAGTCCTACTTTGAAATTTCAAAAAAAAAAAACTCCTATTTAAGGAATTTTCTCCCACCGTAATTACATAATTAATTAACTTAACAAGGTATTTTCTCAGTAAAGCACTTGATGACCGAAAAGGGAGCCTTTATCAATGCCACGCCCATCTCTATTATCCACGGCACGCATACGCAACACGGGCACACGCATGTTACCATACTCCTGCCACCACCACATCCATGTTACCGAAAAGGGAGCCTTTATACTTTTACTTCTAACAAAGTATAACTTACTATATTTTCATATCATTTTTATATTACAAATAACTCACCATATAAATACGGAGTATATATATTTCAAATTGGTAAAACAATTTCCATTTAGAAAAATCAATGTCAATTGCATAATTTGTGTAGAAACTTTTAAATTCATCATTTTGTAACCTGTTAAATTTGGTTGAATTTGGTTAATTTGATGAAATATAGAAGGTTACTAAATTGGTTGAATCTGTTGAAAATGAAAAAAAGTCATAAGATAAAGGAATAAATAGCCTCTACACTAACTTCAATCAGTTTAGTCTGAATATAATTTCAACCTCACTTATATTGATTAATAACATAGAATAGCTAGAATTCGGCATGAAATTAAAATTTAAAAAAAAAATGACTGATAACATTAAGAAGTTGAAAAAAGAGTTACCAATCGTGTTCTCATAATAATGGAGAAAGCTCCGAATAATAAAAGTATAAAACTGCTTATTTTTTGGTAGAGAAGTTATTCTTGACTCTTGAGGCTTTTTTCATGGATGTTGGGATGATTGTGACACATGAGAAAAACGATATATAGTAATGAAATAAATACTAAAAACCTATCAAAGCCTTGAAATTTATAAATTATGAATCGTTACTGCGATATTTTTCTCTCGTCTCTGTTAGGATTCTGAAATAACAATTCCAGTAATTTAAAAGTTAAAACCGTCGATAAAATATTAAAAAAACGGACAAGGAGAAGATCAATTGGCCCAAAAATTGGCAATACGTGTGGAAAAGAAAGAGTTAATTAAGTCGAATTAATTTAAAAAAGCAATGTAAAATAACATTTTCGGTAGATTTCATGAACATTTGGAAGAGAAAAGGGAATACCCGAGGATCCATACGACGACGCCGACGAGAGAGAGGAGAAGGCAGATGAAAGCGAAAGGAAGGCCCAACACGAATCCTAGCGGCCGGCAATCGCCGTCTTCCCCGCAGCACATCGTTGACTCTCTCCGACCTCTTTTCCTTATCGTTTCCGGTAGGCCTTTTTATGAGGAACGACTCTGTCTTCTGGATTTCTAGGTTTAGGAGTCTAGGGAAGACCAAAGGGAAAAAACCGAAGCCGTAGATTTTATCGTCTTCAATAATTTCTCTTTTTGCACTTTTTCTTTTACACCTACTTTTTATTAACCATATTCTCGCATACCCCTTTCTTCCAAAATAATCTTTTTTTGAAAATAAAAGATCAGTTTTTGGGGTGTTTGGTAAATGGCATTTCAGCCGAAAAATGACCATTTTCAGCATTTTCAACAAGTGAAAAAACTGTTTGGTAAATGCGTTTTGAAAAACGGCGTTTACTACTAATTTTATAGCCAAACAGCTAAATTACCAAACATCTTCTAACAACCCGCCAATTTATTCCACCAGTCAAACCCGGTGACTGAATCCGCTATTAACAATCTGCTAACATAATTCGCTATCCGCTAATCGCTAATCGCTAACCGCTGAATGCCAAACACGTCCTTCATATTACAATCAAGAAAGTATACAGGAAAATCTCCAAACAATTATAACATATTCAATCATAAATCCCTTGAATAGACATAAAATCAGTCATATCATACAAAGCAACATGATTCGCTACGAACAAAACGATCAATTTAAAGCATAAATTGATCGGAACTGAAAACACTGTTTATCAAGAGTATTTCAAAAATCCAAATATCAAAATCAAACATATTCAAACTAAAATAAAAACAAGTACAACTAAAGTAGAAATATAGTCTTTCCACAAAATTTTTCTTGGCATGAAGATGATTACGAAGGAGGACGAACTGCTATAATATTGGTGAAAACTAGATTCTTCTTACTTCGTTATTTAAAAACGTAGAAACATGTGGAGACACAAACGCTCTTCATGACACTTCCATACACTACGCAACTAAAAAAAGACAGACAAAAACCCCTAACCAGGCAAAGTTGGCAGAGACAACAGAGTAACTCCCCACACAGAGGAAGACAATATGTTGAATCACTGTCATATTTTTTTGTCATCAAAACAAGCATCTATTCATATCAAAAGATTCGGGATCATTATATCAAGCAAAGGGAAAATAAAATTGACACCAACTGAAACTCCAACAACTACGACTGTAACCCTATGGTGAGACTTTGAGACAGTCACCCCTGAGAGAGCAACACGAATCGCTAACCATGTAGTGGGCTTGACACAGTCAAATCTGTTCCCATAGATCCAACCATAATGACATAAAGAGAGGCAAAAAACTCAAACAAACTAACAAAACCAACAACAAAAGTGGACACAAGAAAACAAATAACAAACAGATAAAAACTAGAAAAAAAAACTCACAAACTCTAGCACCTCGTACATCTCATGGTGGTGGTTCAGGAGGAGGTCCTACCACCGATACCATGCTAATTGATCCTCCATGACCTTTGACTGCCAAAGACCAAGCATCAATCCTCCGTCCCTGCATAACCAAATGCATCCCTGCTCCGTGCGACCAGAGTAAATGGATAGGCGGCGCCGATCTTCTCCAACGACGACAGCCACGCCGCTTCCTCAAACCTTGATCACAACGCCGATCTCCTCGAGCCATGACAACAAATCCGCCCTCCTCCACCGATCTCCGCCCTTCCGCGTCTGACCTGGACTTCAGCCGAGCATCAGCGACCAAGGGAATACAAATCCGTTCTTCGACAAAGTCGAAATCGGAAAAAGACTCCAGCGGCCGACATAATCGAAACCCTAGAGAGAAAACTCAATAATAACTTTCGAAACTCTAACTGCTCATTAGATTAATAACCATCTTTCTTAATAGATCTATGAATCATTGTCATATTTGAAAGCTGTCTGGAATTTCAATTATCGCACAAATATGTACTTGTTCTCCGATTATGATATGATGTATATCTTAACTGATGCCCAAAATCCATGCAGCAAGTTTCTTAATTGCTTCATAGTTGTTAGAATAATCGTCAGTGCTTTGTAGTCTCATGTATTTTCTTAACTGCAAAATCAAACAATCTTTTCGTAGATAAGATGAATTAATGGTGGCATGTACAATGTCATGTAAAGATCACTTTGCAATTACCAGTACTAGTATAGCCCCCGTGCGATGCACGGTGCATAAATTAATTAAAATAATGTATATTTGGTATTTAATGTAAAAATGTATTCATATTGTAAAAATGTTAAATGTTGTGCTATAAAATAAAATGTAATAATTTGACCATATATGTAATATTACATGAGCATACACACACACACAATGACAACATCCAATTTTTAGTCACAAAAGATTATATGGTCGGTTAACATAATTCATACATAATATAGGAATCAAAATGAAGAGAAAGATAAAAAGATAAAATATGTTAAAAAAATAATGAAAAAATAAGATATATAAAACACAAAAGATATAACAAAAAATGATACGATAAAAAGGATAAAAAGAACATACTCCCTCCGTCCCAAAATGAAATTCTCGGTTTAACCTTCACACATATTTATGTATGATAGAGTGTTACTTTGACTTTCCAAGTATATCATCATTACTTTATGTCAAATCAAGCAAAAGTAGATAAAAACTAAAAGTAGTTGTGACTTTTTGCTTAAAAGTAATTTCCTTTTAAAGAAATAAGAACTTCTTTTTGGGACATCCATAAAAATAAAATGAGAAATTCTTTTCAGGACAGAAATAGTATATACATGTGTGTATATATATTATGTATGTGTGTGTGCACACACACACACACATGGAGCGGTTCCGGTGAAAATAAAAGAATGCACATGAGAGAAATGAGAATGATTATGGACCGTTTGATTGTATTATGTGAAACTAATTAAACTGTGCGTTTGGTATATCTGAAAGGTGCATTATGTGTATTTTCAATGTGCATAATAATTGAAGTGTGTATAATAATTCAGTTTCACCTATTATTATGATTTATTACTCCTGAAATAATAACACATGGTATATAACTATTTGTGGCTACAAACATATTTCTTCAATAAGAAATCAATATGAGACAATAACAGACTTTGATATTCATCGATGACCGATCAATGCATAATAAGTCATTATCAAATATTCACCTTTGAAATCTAAAAGGATGCCTACCATTAGATGATTAGATTGGAAGACATTAGCATTTATGTATGTGAGCCCAAGATTTCACCCTCCAAGATTTTTATTGTATCTCCCGATTATTATTCTACTCATTGTTTTTATTCTCTACGACATAAGAAAATATAGCTCCATTAATTGACTCAATATTGTAAGAGCGTTTTTGTAGCACCTATTCTCATCTTATCTTTCAATCTTTATCAAACATATAATTTTTAATTTTGCACAATAGAATATGTTATTATCAAAATAAGTAAAATTTCAGTTATTTTTCTAGTAGGAGTTCATATAAAGAACTACTTTAACTACTTTCATATAATTTTGTATTTATTTCATACTCTATTATTTTTCAAATAAAATTATTTTATAATTTAGTAGAATTGACCAATTCAACCATTTCAATTAGAATTTTACCATTTTAAAAAAATTTATTAAATTCAATCAATTTCGATGTTACCAAATGAATTCTAAACTAAATAGTTTGAAATGAGATTGTAACTCCTCCCGTCCCATTTTACCTGTCTTACTTTCTTTTTTGGATTGTCCCAAAATAAGTGTTACCTTTCCTTTTTTTGGAAAGAAATATGTGATCCACACCATTTCATTTTATTATACTCAAATCGCAACCACAACTTTTACTGTTTCAACTACTTTATTAATAATTGTGTCAAGTCAAAGTAGGACTTATAAAATGGGACATAGGTAGTAATTTGTAAAAATAAAATTAGAACTTCATATTTCTTTTTATAATAAAAATACAGCTGAAATGGACAAAATGAGATACTCCATACTTTATTAAGAGGCCGTTTGGTAATACTGTTTTTCGGCTTATGAGGCTTATCAACCAACTTTTTTACCAAACACGTGACTTTTGTTTTTGCGCGCTGAATTGTGTAATAATAAGAAAAAGCGAGGTTGCAGTTACTTTTCTAGCTGTATTGGCTGAAGTTAATGTAGATGACCATTTTAAATATTTTTAATATAATTTTTTCTTTATTTTATTAATAAAATATATTTTAAAAACAATTTTTTCTTAAATCAGCAGAATCAGCCAATACAACCACTTCAGCCATAATTTCATAAATTTCAGCAGAATCAGACGAATTAGCCGAATTTTTTTGTTACCCAACGGGCCGTAAATAACTAACTCCTAACATATTTGTATGTTTCGGCCCAATCGCTGACCCAAAGCCCAAAAGAGAAATACATCAACACATAACAAAAGCAAACCCGCTCGATCGAGAACCCTAGCGCCCAAATTCTTTTGTGAGAGTTGTTGAGAGATGAGAGGGAGAAAGCTGGTTTGTGAGAGTGTGAGGGAGGAGTTTCCTTTTAGATCCTGAGCGCAGGCCGTTCGTGCATGGTCTGGCAGAGTGGGTTGGAGAAGCTGTTACCGAAATCGCTAGGTGATGAGCCACTCGATTGGCTTCGCGTGGACGGTGACGGAAAGAGAGCTTGTGGGTGATTCACATTTTACAGTGAGGTATCTGGGTATGGTTTCTTGACCTTGAATCATCTTTATTCTCTGTTCTGAGTCTGTCTAAGCTACGAAGTTAGTGTAGCCTTTATTTATGTTGTTTGATACTGAGGTTTCCAAGGCGATTGCTTCCGTTTGCAGAGGATTGAGAGTCTGGGTGGGGAATGAAACTGGAAATTGGAGCTGTCCCTGAGAATTAAACCACCGGCGTTCCTGAATCGGTGAAGGTTGCGTCTGTGTTCAACGTGAAGGTTTTAGGTGAGTCAAGTTGTCACTTTATGATCTTAATTTGATGTTTGTTTCCGAGTAGCGGCATTAGGCCATCCCTGTGTAGATCTGAGTCAATTAAATACCTATAGCTATATTCTAAATTCAAGTAATTAAGTTATTTGTAAAACATAAGCCTTGCACCCCGAAGAGGATGAATTTAAGTATCCGGTGTTGTGTGCTATAGTATGTTTTATATCATGATTCTTATCTTCTTTAGGAATTTTTGCTTATCTGGTATTTATATAATCAATTCGACTAACTTGTAACCAGGTGACCTTAACAAATACAATAGTTTTGGTTCTATTTGTACTTAAGTTTGGTTCTTTTGTAGGTGGTCAAACATGAGATTTATGAAGTGTTGTTCCAGTAAATCCTAGAAATGATTCGAATGCTTCTTATTTGCTTAAGTCTACCTCTTTTTTACGTTTAACAACTTCAACACATGAAGTCAATCAAGATATCAACCTGAAGCCTTTCTGATCCAATGTTATTAGAAAGTTTCTTTCATATTTTACACATAAATGTCTAATTTTACAAATTAACATCTATCAAATAATGTTTTCATTTGACTGAGCTATCAAAGACCTAATTCTCACTAAGTTGTTTTTAAAACTTGAGCCTTACAGCCATGTTTTAAGTTCAAATGGATGAAGATGAACTTACTTTAGCAGGTGTTGTCTGCTATAGCAAGATTCATGTTCTACTTGTATGATTTTTATCTTCTTAGACAATTTTTTGCTAATATATTATTTTATAGGCAATCCCTCTTAACTTGTAACAGGATGACCGTTTTATAAGTTCGACAAAAAAGATTTGGCTCACTTTGTCCTTATCTTTGGTTCTTTTGTATGTGGTCAAAGATGAGATTGATATAGTGTTTTACCATTTAATCCAAAACTGATTCTAGTGCTGCCTATTGGCCGGGTAAACTCTTCATCTAATTTACACAAAATAACATCAACTAATTATATTAATCAATCTATCAACCTGTGGTCTTACCAATCCAATATTATAATAAAGTTTCATTCACATTATACATTCAAGTGTCATAATTCAAATAAGCATCTATCAAATAATCTTTTTATTTCTCTAAGCTATTTAAGACCTAACTCCCATTAAGTTGTTTGCAGAAGTTAAGTCCTGCACCCATTTTTTAAGTTCAAATTGAAGAAGATGAATTTAAACCACATGTGGTATGTGGGGTTGTTTAATACTTTGTTCAGCCTAATTTTTTCTTATTCTTGCAGTTATTTATATGTAATAGTAAATCAAATGTCATTGCTATTATACACAACTCTGTCACTATATATGAAATGACTCTTTTTTTAAAGTTCAGTTACTTGAATCAAGTAAATTTTTTCACTATAAATCAATTGCTAGAGCCAATAAATAAACTGACAGATATGATCAAACAAAATTGATATCTCATTCAATAAACTTTTGATTTAACACAATCTGTTTTCCAATTAAATGTTTTTTGTGCTCTAATATATTGTCAACTCAAAATATTTTCTATCTAATATATACACCTAACTATCTCAAATATACAAATAAACCTCATAACACTAATGTCTTCAAATATGTATCTGTAGTTCCAACCCAATCCCCCTCCAACACCTTAGACTTGTATTCTAGTGTGTGGATTGGTAGAAATATCAAGTATGTTGTCCTATCATTAGCATATTTCTATAATTTTTGTTTTTGATAATCATTTTTACAATTAGAGCAATGATATACTATCGTATGTGTTAATAATACTTCATTTACAACCAAGTAGTAAAATCAAATTTACCTGAAGTATAGTCTGACAAAGGTCTTCTCTATGGACCTACTGTTGTGGATCCATTGAGCTTAGCCATAGTTATGAACTCAACCTTGACATGTAGGAATTTGCCACATAGGAATGAAGTAATACACCATCTTTTTGGACCTACTGTTTCTATTTATCTGGAATTTGCCACATGATTTTCATTATACACCAACTTCAGTAATCATTATACATAGATTTTCAAAACTTAATACAGGGAATAGGTTCTGAAAATTCCCAGTTTGACACTTATATTTCATGAAAAATATTTGATTCCAGGTCAAATTTCACCACCAAATATTGACACTTCAATATCTCATTCTAGAAGAAACTTGTGCGTAACTAAAATTAATATTTCTTTTAGGAATTGCTATTTTAGTATCTTCTGTTTTCTTATTTTTGTTGAGAGCATTGAGTTATTCATAAATGAGCTTATTATCATCCATCTTTGCATTAGCTGCACCATTGCTGCAATTTGTGGCTGCTCCTTTGTAGGTCTTGGTACTTGAAGAAGATAGGTGCCAAGAAACTGCATTTGTCCATGCCTTTTACCTCTTTGCTTATGCTCCATTGACTTGTAAACCGATTTGCTTTCTCTTTTTGTCAATTCAAGTATTGTACTCCGTAATTTTCATTTCTCACCAATATAGGAACTTGCTTGTATGGAATATGAAATTATGAATATATATGTGCATGTTGTGATGATACTCTTTCATACTGTAGGTTAAGAAGAGAGAGAGAGAGAGAGAGAGAGAGAGAGAGAGAGAGAGAGAGAGAGAGAGAGAGAGAGAGAGAGAGAGAGAGAGAGAGAGAGAGAGAGAGAGAGAGAGAGAGAGAGAGAGAGAGAGAGAGAGAGAGGAGGATGGACAATTGAGTGAGTTACTCTTGGAAAGAGTAGTATTTATAGGGAAGTGAATGGTCTTTCTGTAAAGAAAATTCATACCCCAAGAACAGGCTAGCGAGTTTTGATTGGCTGAAAATACACATGCCCCAATGAACAGGCTGGCCAGAATGGATGGGCCGTAATTTTTTTTGACAAATTTCAATAGAGTATCTTTTAGAGATATTGTGTGCGCATGGTCCCTAAAACAGCCTGGCCAGACTTGATTGGTGCTGTAAAGTATGTGTACTGTTGAACTTTTAAAGACTCTCACAGCTTTATATACTTCTCTCTTGTAACTTCCGTGCAGTTTTTTCGTAATGAGTATCAAGAAAGTTTCCTTTTGGTTACTTTTTAGACTGATTTATTTTTTTCTTTTTTCTTAAGCACAATATTTTCTGTGTTAGCTTGCACTGTTTATTGATGTTGACATTTCCAAGCGGGAATACTATTGAAAAAATAGTGCCAAAAAGATTTTGCTTTTATATAATGATAGATTATGTAATGAAAACACCTTCGAAAAAGCACCGTTTTTCCTCCAATGAAATGAGTACAATTCACTGGATTAGTAACTGTAAGATATCCCGCATGCTTTTATCAAGCGATTTAAATTAATTCTTATAAACCCTTATTGACGATTCATCCTAGATGATAAGTTTGCAAGCAACGATGAGCCCTGCCAACTAAATAACGTGTGTTCTGTATGTATTGCAGCTTGATTAATCCTCATAGATTTTATAGGTATTGCTTGTCTAGAGTGAGCTGTTTTCATTCCCCTCCCCTCCCCCTATTTGATAGTTTCTAAGTGGGCCAAATTAGCAAATTTTTAAAGAAAAACCAAGGTACTTTGCCAAATTGGTAAAAACAAAACCAGTTGAGTCAAATTGTTAAAAAAAAAAAAAGTCTCCGTGACAAATTGGTCAAATTTTGTGTGTGAGACTTTTGATCCTCGACTTTAGAATTTTCGACATTTCATATGCTAAGCATCGTGAAATTGACATTTTCACTCATTCTACTTTGAGTTTGTCTTGAAAAGTGGAGAACTAAAAATGTCAACTGTCGTGTTTGATATTAGCACTTGTCTGCTCGATGATAGTCGGTTGAATCAATATATTGATGTAGCAGATTCCGATAGCTATTTGAACTAGCCGCTTTCATTAGCGGTGTGAAATAAAATGTTAATAATTTAACTATTTGCAATTAGCTTTTAACTATAAAATCCCCTTGTGTTTTAATTAATCATGCACAAAACCCACTTTATGAATAAATTTAACGATTTAGAAATCACTTTTCCTGATATGGGTAATTTGAGTTTTCACCCCATTTTATTGTTCAAATTAGATTTTGCACCCTGTTTTTACAAAATCTTTATTTTTGCACCCCAACCTCATATGAAAAGACAAAAATGCCCTTACGTTAACAATTTTGTTGGTCTTCAACATATTCTTGATAGAGGACGTTTTTTTCTTTTCATATGGAGTTAGGGTGCAAAAACAAAGATTTTTAAAAACGGGGTGCGAAGTCCAATTTAGACAATAAAATGTGGTGAAAACTCAAATTATCTCTTCCTGATATTCTGATTGAATGTTCAAGTAAAATATGTCAAAATCTCTACATCATACATAAATATTGTTACTCCCCTCCGTCCCATTTTTGTTGTCTTACTTTCCTTTTTGAGTTGTCCTAAAATGAATGTCATGTTTCCTTTTTTGGTAAGAAATTTGTGGTCCATATCATTTCACTTCATTTTACTCAAATCTCAACCACAACTTTTACTTTTCAACCATTTTATTAATAACCGTACCAAATTGAAATGAGACAACTATTATGGGACGGAGATAGTATATTTCTTTTATTTGACAATTGAATTTGTTCATAGAAGAAATTTCGCACATAATTAACTAAAACACAATGGAGTTTGACACATTTTTTAAATTAAGATATAATAGTGCTTAGTTCACTTGAAAAATGCAACTTCGTGTCCCATGTAGATACTCTGTATATAAGTCGTACCGTCACCCACTAGTAAAAGAAGGTGGGAGACAGAGGACGGATATGAGGCCAAAGGTTTATCTCTTCGGAGACTCCATCACGGAATTTTCTTTCGAGAATGGTGGCTGGGGCGCTGCCCTCGCCAATCACTTCCGCTGCACGGTGCGCCTCCGCCGCCTCCGGCCATCTTCTTCTTCTTCTTCTTAATTTTTGTTCTTTTGATGATCACCACCATATTTTGATTTTGTTTCAGGCTGATGTGGTGCTGAGAGGCTACAGCGGTTACAACACAAGATGGGCTCTGAGGATTCTCGACAAGGCGGCGTTCCCGGCAGAGGAGTGTGCGGGTTCGCCGCCGCTGGCGGTGACGGTGTTTTTCGGTGCCAACGACGCCTCTCTTCCGGATCGATCATCTGCCTTCCAGCACGTGCCTGTTGATGAGTACCAGAACAATCTGCGCTCCATTGTCTCCTTCTTCAAGGTATTCTTGTTGATCATATACTGACCATAAATTGGCTTCCAAAAATCTGTCATTATTATTGATTTATTGGGTCTTGGGATCCAAAGTTCAATTGTTTTGTTGAAAACTTAAATCTTCAATCTGACGCCGCTCAAGTAGACAAAAATAGAGTAGATGTGAGTCATGTGAGTACTCCTTTTTATAGAAAGGAAAACTCTATTTTGGTGATTTTGGAACATGCCAAAAGAAGTGCTAGACTTCTTAATACACCTCATGGCCAATTGTGACTAATATATTGAATAATAAATAAATAAAAACTGTGATGTTACATTTATAATTTGTGTGGATGATGGATATTAATATTATCCATGTATTTCTTACTTCAAATGAAATTTACAAATTTTTCTTGGCCCACTAAAGAAAGAAATTTGTCATTTATAGGACGGGGAGTACCATTTTTGGACGGTACGATGGTAAAATACTATGAACATTATATCTTTATTTCCTTTAATCAGTGCCAAAATCAAATTTTATCTAATTTACATGAATTCATGGTGACATACAAACCCAGAATTCCTTGCCCGAGGTTAATGTTTGAAATGATAACTTAATCATTGCATCTAAAAATTAATTAACCTATAAGATCACAATTATCATCAATTACTCCATACTTCCTTTTTAGTCCGTCCCACTCAAGACTTTTTCATACCATATTTGGTAGAAAATCTGTGATTCGAAATCATTCTTACTTTATGAATTCAATATCAACCATACAAATCACTTTTATTAATAACCGCACTACCTATTCATGTCCCAATATTAGTGGCACAAAGGTAGTACTTCTCAAAATATACTCATATTACTTAGCCTAAAATTGTGTCATTTTTTAAGGAGAACCCCAAGCCATGGAAGTGTAAGTTACTAAGTGAGAATCATAACTAAATACATTGTCGAATTTGTCAATATGTGGGGCTTGCATATATGGTTGAATAGTGAAAGTGGGATTTACAATTATCTCTGATTCCACGGATATGTGTACTAAATTTTTCTGGTCAAAATGGAGAAAACACATTGATCGGGTTGCGGATACGTTGTTACTACGATTAACAAAAGTAAGAATTGCCTTTGTGAATCCACCTCTTTCGGTAGAAGACCCCAAGAGCCCAATGATTTACCATATAGCATGGAAGCTCTCGGAAAAGAGAACATTTCTGTTTCGGAAACTCTACGGAAACTCTTTGGAAACTCTCCAAACAAGCTTTTTTTTTAACAAAAGTTGATGTTTCCCGTTTCCTCGTGATTTTCGCGTTTCCGTGCAACATAGATGATTTAGCGTCTAGAACTGTCTAGATTGTCTCATGGTAAGGTGGTGTTGAAGTGTTTTTTCTGTATTAATGAAAAAACAGGGCTAAACTACAGTCTATGACTCTTGCCCCTAAAATAACATCCTATTGCATTATTCTAGTGTGAATGGACTCTCTTCATATTTGGTTTGTTTGTGATTCCATATAATAAATTTCATTCATTATACACATTTAGGTGTAGCTTACCATATTGCAAATGTGAGGTACGTCGGTACGATGATTTTTTTGCAGGAAAGATGGCCAACGGTGCTTGTTATCCTCCTTACACCGCCCCCGATTGATGAAGCAGCACGCCTTCTGTATGTAAACTTCATCCACATATTAATTACTAAGTTTGATATGTTGATTTTGACGTGCACACAACGTGCACACATATATTTGCAGTCAACCGTTTGGTAAGAACAAATCTGGCCTTCCTGAAAGGACAAATGAAGCTGCAGGAGCTTACGCCAAAGCGTGTATTGATGTTGCCTCAGAGTTTGGAGTTCCATCTGTGGATCTCTGGACCAAAGTTCAGCAAGTTTCAGACTGGAAAAAAACTTGTTTGAGGTGGGTGTGTACATGTTTGATGATTCTAAGCATATTTATACCATTATACATATACACACGCAACACATGTCTATAAATTGCAGGCCGTAACTCTGTTGCTGTCTGGAGCGCAAGCACAACCTTGAACGCAAAGTAAATTTAAAGCCGTGTTCAATATTGATTAATATGATCTTACCTTAATTAAAATGCAGCGATGGTTTGCACTTGGCTCGTGCGGGAAATAGTGTTGTGTTTGATGAGGTGGTGCATGTGCTCAAGAAACAAGGGCGCAATGCAGAATCTCTGCCATCAGATTTTCCCATCATTGACAAAGACATTGATCCAAATGACCCTCTTAAATCTTTTTAAAACAAATGTCATTTGTATCTTATCCAATGTAAGCGACTATATTTTAAATAAAAGAATCAAATCATATCATTAACACTTACTTTTTGGGCTAAGTAAGTGAAGGTGAAGGATATATTTTTGGAGTGATGCAAAACAATATAACCATATGAGCAAGTGTGGCATTCGCGGTTCGTCATAGTAAGAATTAAAAGGCTTGGACAAAAGGTTATTTTTTTCAACTGCAGCTTCTTCACTTCCAAAATATTGGACGTCTTTCTTCGAAGTCGGGAGGTCTTTGATATATAACGGTCGCGGCGTTGATTAAAATTCCAGCGGTTAGAGCCCATATAATATAAACTTCATCCTTTGATTGATGGTTAAAGAAATGCAGTAGATACTTGTTCCCCATCCATTCCCGCTCCTCTTCTGTTCTGTTTTCATTCTGCAAATTTGAACAAAGCATTCCCATAAATGAAGTAGAAACACGATTACTTTCAAGAATTTATAAGACTCAAATGTGAACCTTAAGAAACATCTCTAAGGGTGCATAAAATATTGAGTCTACTTCGTCAGCATTTGCAACTAAATTCATTGAACTTCTGTCCCAAACTAAGCCGACCACTGGAATTACCGTCATGCCTTTCTGCAAAATGAAGACTATTTTGTCAAGTTCAATAGGGGCATATTGAAAGCCAAATCTAATATTAAGATTGAAATCCTGCTCCTAAAAGAGGTGAGTCTAATATGAGCATAAATTACTCTATATAATTACTTTTTAGCAAGTAAATTAACATGTAAATTACACATCACAATTTTTTGTGTGAAGTATGTAGTATTTGGTAATTACTATTTTTGTTCAAACTTCTTTTCCGGCTAGCAAGTAGCTTGTATGGGCAAATTTGCTTGCTCAAGTTAGGAGATAAAATGTACTCCAATGATATGCTTGTAGCTTCAATATTTTAAAAAACTGCAAGCAAGTCCTAACCATTGGAGATGATGTAAAAAAGCTTGTCATTTTAGAATAGAAACCAAAATGGGTTGGATGTAATACTATTCAGGAGCTCATATTTAGATTCTACTCCATACTATTTAGAAATTCAATACTACCCCAGTATTTTGAAAAAATGGTAAGGGTAATGAATAGTGTAGAAAGAGTAGGAGAGATAATCAAAAGTATGAAAGAAAATAATAAGCAAAAAAAGTAAGGGCCTGTTTACTAACAGAAATATTTTCCAGTTTTCCAGAAAACTGGAAAACTGGAAAACAGGAAACGTGTTTACCAAAGAAATTCCTGGAAAACTGGAGAAAGGAAAAAAGAAAAACGCGTTTACCAAATCGTTTTTCAAAACGGAAAAAATGAAACATGTCTCTCTTTTCCTTAATGATTTGGAGAAGTGACTTTTACTAGTTTTCCAAATTTGGAAAACGCAGATGCTACAGTGTCTTTGCAATGAATTTGCATACTTACACCTAGTGGTGGGTCCGGTCCTGCTCCGATGTCGATTCCATTCCGGTACCTCCATCCTCGTACCTTACCCCTTACCCCTACCCTACCCTACCCACCCAACCCTGACCCCGTGTACCCATTTTTCCCTATAATGACCTTACCCCACCCCCCACCACATGCCCCGACCTCGGCCCCACCCCGATCCACCCTACCCTACCGCCACCCCCTAGCCCCTACCACCTCGACCCAACTCGATCCACCCTACCCTACCGCCACCCCCCTACCACCTCGACCCCACCCCGACCCACCCTACCCTACCCCCCACCCCTCGTATATTACCACTTACCCCAACCTTACCCCTTACCACATGCCTCCTACCTCGGCCCCACCCCACCGCCATCCTACCCCCACCCTCGTATCGCCATCCTACCCCCACCCCCACCCTACCCTACCTTGACCCCACCCGGATTCCGGGCCCATCCTACCGCCATCCTATCCCAACTCCCTACCCTACCCCTACCTTACCCCAACCCCAAACCCTACCCACTACCCCCACCCTTACCGCCATCCTACCCCCACCCTTACTGCCATCCTACCCCGGACCCTGGTCCCCGACCCCACCCTACCGCCATCCTATCCCAACTCCCTACCCTACCCCTACCTTACCCCAACCCTACCCACTACCCCACCCTTAACCCTAACCACGACCCTAACCCACCCATTACCCCCACCCAACCCCCTACCCCTAGACCTTACCACCCCACCCCGACCATACCCCTTACCCCACCCCCACCCATAACTTCCCTACCCCGAACCCTACGAGTAGGTATGGGTGGGTATGAAGGGTTGTGGTGGAGTATGAGTAGAGTGTAAGATCGTGGTAAGGGTGGAGGTAGGGGTCAAGGGTGTGAAATTGGAGAACTGTGTGAAAAAATTGATGAACATGTTTTCAAATTTGAAAATGGAAAACTAAAAAATAGAAACAAAAAATTGGAGATAGAAAAACTGAAAAATAAAAACAGAAAATTGGAGAACGAAAAACAGAAGTAGAAAACAGGAAAATATCTCTGTTAGTAAACAGGTCCTAAATATTTTTGAAATAATATTTTTGAGTATTTCAATGTGCCTCATGAATTGTGCACAAAGAAGGATTACCATGTTTATACCAAACTAAGTTTGGATTTGTTATTTAGGGAATATATGTATTAAGGTTTAATTTGGTTTTGCTTACCTGAGTTTGGTTTTATTCAATTTTTTCTGCTTCGATTGAATATACATAGTGTATAGTTTGAGAAATATACCTTATTTGTAAATGATTCAAGAAGAGTAATAACATGCACAATTGAGGGGTCTAAGCCTATCTCTTCCTTAGCCTCCCTTAGAGCTGTTTCAATATCATTGGCATCACCTTCTTCCATTTTCCCTCCTGGCAATGCAACTTCACCTACCAAAACACAAATGTCAAAGGTGGATGAACTTATATGTTTCCTTTTAGTCCAAACACTTTCATTTTCACCTCAATCATTAATGGAAAATTTCGCGAGATACGGTTAAACCTTATTAAGTTTTTCAAAATATGACTATTCGTATTTTAGACATTCGTATGATTGAAAATGAAAATATGAAAGAAAATCTCATCAATATGATGAAGGACGAAAATACTCTTGTTAAAGAAATGTGCATTTTGTGCTTTTGTACTTTTATTGTCAATTAAAAATACTGCACTTCATGCTTGCATTACCACATGAAGTGACATTAGTGCATTTTATTACGGCGTTAATGCACGACGTTATGAAAATATTAGGAATTTATAATTCTTTTATAATTTCTTTTAGGAGTTTTTTCGTGCAATTCAATATATTGCAATTTATGCTAGCACTAATACTCTACATTACTACACTTTCTGTCATAATCATTGCATTTCACGCCAACATTATGTTGTGTTATATATTGGCTTCGGTTCACTGCACAACACTCTCATATAATGCATTCATTCACTGTACAAGTTCAATGACGGCAATTGTGTCGTCGACAAGAGAAAGAAGAACGGATCCGCTTGTCTGCCTGAGAGCACAAATCTCGTCCATCGAGACAAGGGAGAGTTATTCGTCCCTAACCGTCAGTCCAACGCCGTCCTCCAGGCACCCGACCAACTCTTATTTCAAGAAATCGAAAAGAAGAAAGAGAAGAATAAGAGGCTGTAGTCGAAGGGTGGTTGGCGGTCGGAGGCTGATGGCGGGCGAGCGGGTGGCGGGTGGCGGGTGGCGGGCGACTGGGTGACTGGGCAATTAGGCAGTGGGTGGCGGGTGGCGTGGTGACTCCAAGCAAGCGATGAAGAAGAGAGTAGGAAGTTAAGGAATTACTCCGTATAACAATAGGTTAAAGTCATATTAGTTCATAAAAATTATTTATTAAATACATTATTTAAATATTATCTTGATAAGAAAACTAGTCATATTGGAAAAGTGAGGAAGTCTTAGTGGGATAAGTTTCTCAATTTTTAATTCTCTATCAGTTAAAAAGTTTAAAATTTGCGTCCGTATTACAATTAGAGTATTGAATTCTAAAAATATAACCTTATCTCTATTTTTCCAAAAATATGACAAATCTGGAGAGAGCCCATCAGCCCAATGCCCGCATCACCTTCGCATAGATCCCAGCGCACCTCGATGTCCATTCTGATTTCTAGCGCAGATGGCCATCTGCTTCGCATCATCTGCTCGGAAGGAGAGCTCGGTCGACCGCGTCTTGCATCACTGTCGGCTATCTCCTTCGCCGCCGCTCTCCTGCCATTGCTGCCCTCCCCGCCGCAACTCTCTTCTTCTACTCATTTCTTCTCCACCATAATTGCTACAACTCAAATCGAAGATCTAGGCGTCATCCTCAATGGCCGCACCTCCACTGGGCTGCCATAATCCATCGGCGCTCCAGATACGCTCCTCTCCGTGACCTCGTCTTCTATTTTTAGATCTGAGGTGAAAGTTGTGGTTAGGGTTACGCCGGTGGTGAACGGCGGCTATGGTTACAATAGTGGTGGCTGGGTTGAGATCTGTTGGTTGGGGCTAAAATTTGTTGGCTGGGGTAGATCTGTGCCGATGGTGATGGGCTGGAGGTTGGGGGAGTGACGAATTGGGGGTTGGGGATAGATGTTGGTGGGTGATGGTGTTGAACGACAAGGATGAGCTCGCAGGTTAGGAGAGGCCGGAGGGACAGGGGTATTGAGCAGTCTATAGAGATTGTAGCTGACGGTGCCGGTTGGGTGGCCGCCGGAAAATTATTCGGTGTAATGTAGGGCAGCAGTCACTGGCCGGGGCTAGGGGTGGGCATAACGGTTTGGTTTAATCGAACCGAACCGTACCAAACCGAACTAAACCGAACCGAAACCGAACCGTATGCAATTTGGTTTTAGTTTGGTACTATTTCTTTCAAACCGTATTAAACCGAACCGAACCGAACCGAAACCGATAAAAACCGAACAAAACCGAACAAAACCGAACCGAACCGAACAACACACACACACACACACACTTTGTATTTATCTTCACTCTTCATTTTAAGATATAAATAAAAAATTTAGACATGAAAATGCATATTTAAGCATATACTCGTATTATTTTAACTTTTACACATTTCAAACATTCATTATGACAAAGTTAGCTAATACGACATTGTCGACATATTTGTATTTATTATGGTTGGCGATATCAATAGCAAATTGTATTTATATTTCTATTTCTATTTCTGTGTGAGTCTTTGGTTTAGTTTGTTTCAATTGGTTTAGCAGGTGAAGGCAGGTTGTTTAAGCTAGGTTCTAGTATTTCATTTAGTTGGAATTTCAATTGGCAGAGGTTGTTTAAGCAGGTGAAGGCAGGTTGTTCAATTGGTTTGGTGAAGGCTGGTTCTAGTATTTCATTTAGTTGGAATTTCAATGAAAACAAAACATTCAAAATTACTCATTTACTCAAAGTGGATTGTAACATATGAAACAAGACATAATCATTTTCAAGTTTATAAACCGAACATCAAACCGAACACCAAACCGAACCGAACCGAATTTTTCCCAAACCGAACCGAAACCAAACCGAAATTCTTTTGGTTTGAGTTTGGTACTATTTTCCTCAAACCGAATAAACCGAAACCGAACCGTAAACCGATTCGCCCACCCCTAGCCGGGGCAATGGCAGTCACTGGTCCGGGCAGTGGCAGTCACTGGCCGGGGTAGTGGCAGTCACTGGCTGGGGGCGGCGACAGTCACTATGGCGGCAGAGTCACTTTGTCGGCGAGTCACTGTGGCGGCGGAGTCACTGTGGCCGGAGTCACTTTGGCCGGAGTCGACGGCGGCAGTGGCAGCGGCGGTGGCAGTGGTGGTGCTAGGGTCGGCGGTCCGGAGGTGCTAGTGGCCACAAATGTATAAAAGGACTATTAATAAATAAATATATAATTAAATATAAGGAATAAATGACTTTTAGTCATATTTTTAGAAAAATTTAAAACAAGTCACTTTTTTATCTTTTTCATTCATTTTAGTAATATTGAAATAAAAAGGCCTAAGGTCATATTAGTTCATAAAAATTATTTATTAAATACATTATTTAAATATTATCTTGATAAGAAAACTAGTCATATTGAAAAAGTGAGGAAGTCTTAGTGGGATAAGTTTCTCAATTTTTAATTCTCTATCAGTTAAAAAGTTTAAAAATTCAGTTTTTGAAAATTAATAATAAGAGGAACTCAACATTATTTAAAAATAATAATCATATATTAATAAATGAAATGTAATCAAATAAAGCATAGAAACTCATAGAAACTACTTTTTCCATCCTGTAGAAAGGTTCTCACTTTTCCTTTTTAAACGTTCCATATAAAAATTCCCGTTTCTATTTTAGAAAACAATTAACAATCTTAAATGACAATTCAATCATTAAATTTAAAAATAATATATTTATAACATCACAATTATTAATATTAACCTCATACTATTACATAGTAATTAAAATTATTTCTCAAAATATATTTGAATTACTTTATTTAATTATTGTTTAAATAATTGTACCGTTTTGCCATGAAACCTTTGAATGAGACGAAGGTAAGAACTTCACGAAAATAATGCTCCATCCGTGCCAAAATTAGCTGCATTATTTCATTTTTCGTCCGTCCCAATCTTTTTTTACAAGGAATTTATGGTTCGCAACAATTTCTGCTTGATTTCTCTCTTTGGGTCACACATTTATCACTTTTTTAATCCACTTGCAAAGTCACAGGAGTGTATTTTAGGCTTCTTGGATCTATCTTTCATTTTTTGCAGTAACCTCAAATAGGAGAACTCACCTGGATGGGAAGACAGTTTAGAGGATCTTTTGGTAAGAACGACACAAAGATCGCCGCTTTCTCCTTCGAACAAACAGATCAAAACCGCAGCCCTTTTAGACTTGGACATTGGTGGGGTGATAGTGATTGGGTTTGTAACAGATTTTGAATTCAACCCCACATTTTGGGCGACTTTATCGTCTGCTTGACCCGTCAAGTTCTCGCTTGAGGGTTCGTCCAGACTGTGAGCAGGCTTATACAAGGAGAGTCTACGGGCCAAATTGACGAGCATTTCGGATCTAGGAGCACCGCTAGGATCCATAGATGAACCCAGAGTCAATAACGGCAGAGTTTGGAATGGAAAGGCGTACTAGTAGAGGTTCACTGGACGTGATTCCCTTCAGTGACTGGTGTCGTTTGACTTGGAAGCTAGGAGCGGAGGATGGCAGTTCACCTAACTCCAGTTTGGTGTATTTGTTTATTTATGTTAAACCTACCCAATCGTGGGAGTTGTTTTTCAAAACAACGATGTAGCAGGGCAGGGCAGCCAAAGAGGAGAACCCAGTAACCCACTCATGTTCCACCCAAATACTATCTCCGTCCCATTTATACTGAAACGGAAGAGGGTGACACAGTTATTAAGAAAAGTGAGTTTGTATGGTTGATATTAATTGATAAAGTAAGAATCAAGTAAGAATGATTTAGAGCCACACAAACTTTGCCAAATATGATATGAGACAATTTAAGTGGGACTTCCCGAAAAGGTAAAACGAGACAATATAAATGAGACAGAGGGAGTACTCTAATTTATTTTAACGTATCACTATGAATTAGGGGATGTAGGGCTGAGCAAAACTCGATCTGACCCAAAAAAACTATTTTTTTTCGGATATTATCCGAATCGAAGTGGATATCTGACCCGAAAAACCCGAAACCGAAAGTCCGATTAATATTGGGCCTAGACCGGGTGGCGGGTAGGGTTTGTAAAATCCCAACCCGACCCGACGAATATCTGAAATACTATCTCTGTCCCATTTTATGTGTCCTACTTTGACTTGGCACAAATATTAATGAAGTGGCTGAAAAAGTAAAAGTCGTGGTTGAGATTTGAGTATAATAAAGTGAAATGTTGTAGACCACATATTTCTTTCCAAAAAAGGAAATGAGACACTTATTTTGAGACAACCCAAAAAGGAAAGTAGGACAGGTAAAATGGGACGGAGGGAGTATATGTTAGTGTGTACTTTGAATATATTAAATTAATACTTGTGTTCAATTATTTGTATAATTATTTGTGCAATTTGTATTAAATTATTTGTGTAAATTGAATGTGTAGTGCACTACTGTGTACAATTTTTGTCAAAGTGGCATTCCAACACTTTAATTATCCAATTATAATGTGTATTAATATAACCGAAATATCCGAAATATATTAAATTATGTAATGTGTACTTTGAATATGTTAAATTAATACTTGTGTTCAATTATTTGTGTAATTATTTGTGCAATTTGTGTTAAATTATTTATGTAATTTGGATGTTTAGTGCACTAGTGTGTACAATTTTTGTCAAAGTGGCATTTAAACACTTTAGGGTTTAGGGTTCGCAAACCCGGCCCGCCCGAACCCGACCCGTGCACAGCCCTAAGGGGATGTTTGGATCTTATTCTTAAAACTGTGCTCCTTCAGGGAGCAGAAACAGAAGTCGAAATGTTTGGATGAAAGTGCAGAAGTGATTCTGGTGTTTTAATTTACTCCTAAAATTAGTTTCTTAAGAAGCTGGAGGGGACCAGTTTCTGAAAACTGATTCTACTTCTGCTTTAAAAAAGAAGCAGAATCAGTTCCAAACACCCTCTTAATAGGGTGTACTGTAAAAAATTCTATACCGTAGGTAATTGGATTCATTCTTTTATTTCTATATATGTAATATTGGTGTTATATGAAATATAATAAAAAATTATGAATTTTGGTATAATTTTGTAACAATCAAAGTATAAATAAAAAAAAGTTATAGCACTTAAAAAATAATATTTTTTAAAGTGTTAAATTATGTTTAGTTTGTATATATGTAATATTCGTGTCATACAAAAGATGATAAAAAGTTATGAATTTTGGTATGTTTTTGTAACATTTGAAGTATAAATGAACAAGTTATAGCAATTTTAAAAAAATAAATGTGCTGCATTTTTATATGTGCAATATTGGTGTCATAAAAAATATAATAAAAACTTATTATTTTTAATATGTTTTATGTGACAATTGGAGTTTTGTTAGAGAAAAACGAAGAAATACTGACATATGACTATAGGAAAAATTGAAAATAATAATTCAAACTATTGTTGGTCCGCTGAAAATAATCCCAACTATTGATTATTTTTGTATAATCCCAACTATATAGACTATCCGCCAATAATGGTCCCTGACCATATATTACCTCTATAAAAAGTGAATTTTAAATAGAAATTAAGCGTAAAAATTAAAAATTGAGATTATTTATAGGGATTACTTGTTATATCTCATCTCATCCACTTTAGAAACTACAAGAATTTATTCATAGGGACCATTATTGGCGGAAGGTCCCTAAAGTTGGGATTATTCTGTAATAATCAATAGTTGAGATTATTATGAGCGGACAGCCAATAGTTGGGATTATTACTATCAATTTTTCCTATGACTATATGAGTCTTGTTGTGAAGCAAATGTCTAATATCTTCAATAATGAGATCAAGCCATGTGTCTTACCTGCCACGTCTCTTCCTCTCCACCGGTAGCCATTGATGATTTTCTCAATATTTGCAAAATAATCTAATAGTAAAGGAAAAACATTCACCACGGCATACCCTGGACAACAATTTTTAGGAGAACTTCTCATCCTGCATTAGATAAAGATTTATTATTCATAATCCACTCCTACATGTAACCCAAGGTCTCTGACTTACGCCTTCCCATCAAGGCTAGAAGCCCCAAGTAGCAAGGATTATCTCCCTCTTTATCAACACCAAAAGTGTTGCAAATTTCCACTCTAATATCATCTGCCACATTCGGGCTACAAGAATTAGAGAATTTTTTAAAATTAATTTTGTGCATGTCCTAACCTACCTTCATACCGTTGCAGAATATCTTTAATAGCTCCACAATCCCCAAGATGGCTAGAAAGAATAGATAACTGTCATCAGCTGAAAAAAAAGATGAGAGACCCTAGAGCATCTCAAGCAATAGAAACACCACATATTCTTCCCAGGCTCTCTTCTTTCCGGATTAACAAACTCAATCCCTCTGCCACGAGCTTAAAAATGTATGAGGACAAGAAATCCCCTATCGAAGTCCCCATTTAGATATCACTAGTCCCAACACTGTACCATCAAAAGGAATGAAGTACTCAACAGAGCACACATACTCCTCAATCAAACGGATCCACCTCACTGAGAGATTCATAGCTTCCATCACTTTAATATTAGATTGTTGAGTACGTTAGATTGATGAGAATGTATTCAATTTATTCTCATTTATGTTTGGTTAAGATTAAAGGAATATAACATTAAATTATTTGGTTGAAAGATATTTACTATCGGTATATGGCAGATCCGGTGGATTACTTCAATGTCCTTTAAATATTTTCTCTTAACAAAATTAATCTATTACAACCATCTAGAGAGAAGGGAGAGCTAGAGAGATAAAGTGATATGTGTATAATCAACTTCCAACCTTCTAATCAACCATCCTTTACATGGCTCCCATAGGGAGTATTAATAGGAGAAAAGTGGGCTGGACTTCCAGGCTTGGGCCTGGAAGGCCCAACTACAATAAAAGGCCAATAAATGGCTAATAAATGGTATCTAATCTATTCTAATGGGTACATATGAATAAATATAGTGTACAAGGAAATAAATGCTATCTACTGAACATATGTGGGCCGCTATCCGGGCCGCTGTCTGGGCCAATAGTCGTGATACCCAGGGTCCGAGTCTATATACTCTATCAACAACTTACATCTAAACTAACTGAAATTAAAGAAAAACAGTAATATCTTAATAATAAATAAAATCAAAACTAATTGAATTATTTTTAAGTAAAGTATGTTTAATTGTAAAAAGTTGTAGATCCAATACAAAAAAACTTTTTTCAAATAGTAATCTAAATATATTTATTATCATTTCAAATAAAAAAAATCAATCAAAAAAATGTACAAGTTATTCGTAAAACTTGTTTTCAAATTAAAGAACAAAAAAATAAATAAACATGCTCCATCTGTCGTCCCACTTAAAAGGTTGTCACACAATTTACGATATTTGACTGACCATCAAATTAACGGATCTCTGTCAATAAGATTTGTTTTAGTAAATAAAATTTACATAATCAGAAACTATATTAAAAGTTTTATAATGTCACAAAAAAATCAGATTTGATAAACGTTGGATATATATAGAAATTAAATGAAAAGAGATAATTGATTGAGGGTATTTTCCGAAGAAAATCAGATCATCCCCGAGAATGTCAGATTACCTAAGACATGGATGAGTTTAACATTCCCCTCCATATTACATCCCTGAGAATGTAACTTTCTCGATTTTTTCTCAACCCGACGAACCAAAAATGGGCATGTAACATTCCTTGCATCACATTGCGGCCTTTAAGTGAGATAAGTCCAAACCAAAAAGCTCCAATCCACCCTATCATACGCTTTCCTCATATCCAACTTTAACGCAACAAAGCCCTCTTTTCCCCGAGTTATCCGTTTCAAATAATAATGAATTTCAAAAGCAATCATAATATTATCTATTATCAATCTTTTCCGGGATAAAAGCAATTTGATAATCAGAAACCAACCTCTGAAGAATACCTTTTAGTCTATTTGCTAGTACCTTAGCAAAAAAAATTAAATTACCATACAGAGTGTGATGGGTCGCTAGTCGCCAAATTTTTTAGGCTTATCCTTAGACATCAAGGTAATATTAGTAAGATTTACCTCTCTTGGGAGCTTACCTTCACTCAGATCTTTTGGCAAAAACCCACAACATCGGAACCAACAGTCCCAATAATACTGAAAGAACCAGAATTTAAATCATCTGGGTTAACGCGCTTTATCAAGGTGCATAACAAACATAGCTTTAGTCACCTCCATTGTCATAATTGGTATAATCAGAACTTCATTATGCTTTTTCACCACAGATGCTAAGCCAGAAAGATGTACTCCAATTAAGTTATCACTATCCGACGAGAACAATGATAAAAAACAGTCTATCACTATGGTTTCGAGCTTTCCTCTGTCAGTAATTATCCAAGCTCCATCTGCTGCCTCTAGTCCTCTCATTATGTTTCTCCCCCGTCTTTGCTTAACCGCCATTATGGAAATATATGAAATTAACACCCTCTTCTTTTAATCACAACTCCTTGGCACGCTACTTCCAAAAAGTATTTTGCTAATAAAGAAGAACCAATAAGTTTTGTTTGACTCCTTGGAACTTGCACTGCTCCCAAGTCCACCAGCTGTTTTGAGATAGGCTACACGCCGCTTGCATAAATCTATTCTAGATTGGAAACCAAAATTTTGCCTTCTACTCTAGAGTTCTAGCT